GCAAAGTATTTTTAGTTAATTACAGTGGTGTTTGTTTGTTTGTTTTGTTTTGTTTTTTCATTTGCTGTGATCTTTTTTGGGGATGGGTCGGGTCAGGGGCAGGGGGGAATGGGGTCATCGTACGACAAAAAAATAAAAGGGAAATTAAATTAAATATAAGAGATAGAGATTGGTGAAAACAATTATAATAATCATACAATACAAATACAAATATATATATATAGGCATATATATATATATATCTATACATATTTATTAATTAATTAATAATTAATAATAATAATCATCGTAATAGTAGTAAAAAAAAGTGTATGTAATTGTATTGTGTATAATCAGAATCATGCAATTGGATAAATGTATACAATATACTTTTTTAGAGGGTGTTTTTATCGTTAAAATTAATGAAAAACGGCATCGTCTCACAAATCGTCTATCGTCTAATCGTTAATCATTTATCGTTTTGTAATCAGTTATCAGTAATCAGCGGTCATCGGTCGCCGCATCGCATCCTATCTCATCTCTATTTTACATACAATCAGTTATCAACGGTTTGATCATCATTCATCATTCATCATTCATCTTTAATCGCTATAATTATTTGTAATCATTTTGTTAATATTACTCGTACCCATAGTTGTTAGCTGTTTCTGTTTTTTGTTTTGTTTTCTTGGTTTTTGTGGTTGTTTCTGTTTTTTGATGTCGTGTTAGAACTAGTTTTTACTAAGGCTTGGTTTACACGTGACTTAACTAGGCTTAAACGGTCCTCCTTCTCCTCCTCCTCCTCCTCCTCAGAGCACTCTTCCTGCATACTTCCTCCTTTGTTTTTTTTTTGTTAGGTTTCCCCTTTCTTTCATTTTTTTGTTGTTGTTTGTTTGTTTTCGATATTACATTTTTTGTATGCATAATAATATAAACGCTGTTTTCTAGCAAAGTGTTCTCCACACTTCCATGTTCTAATCATGATCCTGAGGCCTCGATTCCGTCTCAATAGAATGAGACACTCATTCTCATATACATATATAATTTACAATCGTTTTTTCTTAACTAATTCCTTGTCATATAAAGGTTGCATGCGTTGGTGTGTGTTTAGTGTTTAGTGTTAAGTGTCTAGTGTGTGGTGTATGTGATCTATATATATAACATGTATTTATGTATGTGTATATAGATTTGTATTTATATAGCGTTTGTGTAGACTAAGGCTCTTAGGGGGCTAGGGGCTAACTCCCGATTCGCGTAATGCTTAATGCGTTTTGTGGTTGCTCTCTATTTCTGTTCATATATAATTGTAATCACAAATAGTTTTGGAATATGCTCTCGCTTTCTCAATATCTCCTACCACTCTCCTCCTACTCTACTCTCCTTCGAACCATCTCCTCTCCATCTCTTCTGCATCGCTTGCCATAAATTTAACGAATTGAACATCGACTTTTTTCACACTCTCCCACTTTGTTCATCGCTGCTGACTGTACTTAAAACGTATAACGGTTTACATACAATAAAAAAAAATTAAAAATATATAAATAAAAACACATAATAAAAACAGAAAGTTCCAAGCTTAATCTCCCTCTCTCCCTCTTTCTTTTTGTGGCTACTGTGTGTGTGTTACTGTTGTTGTTTAATTTTTTCTTTGTTTTTCTGCTGCTGCTCCGCTGCGCCCGCGCACTGTGCGGCACCGTCAAGCGTCCACGTCCACCACGCGGCGACTGCGCGTGAAGGCAGCGTCATGTTACGGTTTCGTTATCGTAATCGTTAGGTTATCGATTGTTCCATACATTAAAAGTACAAAGGCATACGGCGGCAGAGCCCTGTGACTTGAGTATGTTTAAGTATTTTTTGTTTTTGTTTTTGTTTTGTTTTTCCTTATACTTTTTTTTAGTTTTTTGCTTAGTCATTTTTTTTGTTTTGGTTTTTTTTTCGTAGTTCTTAATTGGTTTTTTTGTTTTTTGTTTTCTTTTTACACATATATTATAATATTTACTTTAACAATTAACTTGTTGGATTTTTTTTTGGTGTCTGTTTTTTGATTGTGTGCAGCGCAGCGCGGGTTCGCATTCAGTTTGATGATCATCTACATATCACTCGGATCTGATCTCTGTGTGTGTGTGTGTGTGTGTGTGTATGTGTGTGTTTGTTTTTCGTTTCTTCTTCTGATCATCTGTTTCTGATTCGGATTCTGTCTCTGATTCTTGACTTGACGGCAGTGGCAGTGGGGCGCAGGAAGCGCAGGACTCCTCCTTCTACACTCCTTCTCCTCATTTCTTTCTATGTTTCTATATATATACTACATACATATGTATATATTGTTTGTAATTTGTTGATACTACGCGCGCGGGTCCTCTACTACGTGGTTTAGTTTAAAAAACACACACAAACTAACTAAAATATATACTATATATGTATATAGTAGATGTATGTGTATATATATGTGTATATGTTCCGATATATGTATATATAAATCTGTATGTATAAACGCTTTCTTCGTGTAGATCTATTCCTTATTTCATAATGCGACACTAGGGCAAATGGATTTCTTACAAACGTTTTCTTTATCTGCTTACGTGTATGCCAATCCGCTCCGCTTCGCTCCAACGCGGTTTGGCCACCAACTCTAGGATAACTACCGGACTACATAATGTATATATATATATATATATATTCTTGTATATAATGGTTTAATGTATATATTTACAATTAAAGATTAATGTGTTACTTGCTCGTGACGCAATTGAAGGCATTTGTTATGCGCAGTTTAAGATTTTATGTACTACAATGCTAGGTATTTATAATGTACAAAACTCTCTCTCTCTCCCTCCCCTCTATATATATATATATATACTCGCTTTCGCTTTCACTTCCTGTCTCTCCTCCTAGTGTACGTACTTTCTATCTATCGAATGGTAGTAGTAGTAGTAGTAGTCTTGGGCGGCGGCAACTGGTGTACAAAAAGAAAAACACAGTTTGAAAACGAAAACGAGGAGCGCACGCACGCGCACTCCCTCTCCTCCTTCTAACACACTTCTAACAGTACAAAAACATTTAAAATCTATTCTAGAAAGAACCCGTCATCGGTTGCTGCAGATCCTCCTCTCCATTTTGGGTATATGTAGTCTATATACCCATGGCTTATCCTACGTTTTCTAGCATTAATAAATAGCATTCTCCATGTCGTGTATATCGCATTGTATCGGTATTGGAAACGATTGGGACTCCTTTCGAAACACTTTCCACCTTCTCCGCTCGGCTCAGCTCCTCTTCGCTCTGTTTGTTTGCTTCAGACATCCAGTTTGTTTGTTGTTTGTTGTGGGGAGCTAGGCTGTGTTGATTTCCGTAGCTCCCCTCTCCATATTGGCTATCACAAAATCAAATACTAAGTTCAAGATCCTTAAAGTATTATCTGACGCATTCACCCACTGGCACGCGCACATTCGTTCGCTGTTGAGTTTTGTTATTTCTGCTTAAGACTATGTAAATTTTGAATTGGGTTTGGGCATTGGAACACACACTTGGGGAAAATCACAAAACGGGGAAAGGGGGAACCGCAAACGGAACCCCCTGGTGCACACAACACTACAAGACAAAAGACAAGACACACACACAACATGCAACACACACACGAACATCGATTAGGCTTACAAAGAAGGCGAAAAAAACACACAAGAACAATTCGTATGAAACAATTATATTACAAGCTACAACGTGGTTTACTTTTTCTTGAATTTTGTTTTGTTTCCTTTCCCTATAACCTAAGTATCAAAGTATATATGTATATATATATATATTTGAAGTACTCTAACGGCTTACAAAGCATTGTGTCTATTGCTATTTTGTTGCACATGTTTTGTAATGTTCATGTTCATCCTGATTAATCCTCTGCCAACCATCTACCTACTCCTCCTGGTAACATCATCGAATATTTTGTTTTGTTTGTTTGGTGTCTTCGATTTCATTCATTTGCAATTTTTGTATATTTTTTGTTTGCTTTTTTTTAGTTTAATTTAATTTAAGGTTTTATGTGGCATCGTTTTAACTCATCCTGATTCTGATTTCCTACCCCAGCCCAGTAGAGCCCTAACACTCATCCACTAAAAGCCACACCATACCGGATGGCTGGTGTCTAGCTCTACTGCTGTCGCTTGTTCATTGGTGTCTGTCGTGTTCCTGGAACCTGAGACCTGAGGCATTTATTCTGTACTCAAATATGAATGAACTTGCGGAGGCTAGCTGTGGGCTGGGGTGATTGCTATTCCTTGTTTAGTTTTAGTTATAGTTTTAGGTTAATTTGATTTTCGATTTGATTGGTACAAAAATATGTATTGTATGTATTCTACTCTATTCGCGTATGGTGTTCTGTTCCCAAATTGGAAGCTCCTATAAGGAGCACGTTTATATAACTGCCTATCAGCTGCGATCCGACCTGGTACATCTCCTCTGGATCGCCAACAAAACACATAGTTTCGGATGCACATTATGGTATGGGATGCCTGTGCTTGGGTGATTCTGATTCTATCTGATAGTCGCCTGATTCAAATGGTTTGGGGTGGCTCAATTGCTCAATTGCTTAATAATAATCTACTACTTCTCTTCCGTTATTTCCAAATCTCTCGCGATATATATTAATATATATATATATATATACTAACACTATACTATATTGCATGGAGGTACAAAAAAACTAAACACTCTTTAGCACTCTTTTTAATTTTAGTTTGTATCGAATTTTTGTTGAATTTCAGGATTATTTCATATTTCACGGCTTGTAGTTTATGGTCTAAAAGTTTGTGCCTTTGCTTTGTTCAAATTAAAATTGTTGTGTACGCTTTATAAACCATCAAATTCTCATTCGTAGCTGTGTCCATTTTGTTTCTTTGACTGTTTTGCTCCTGTTTTTTTCGGGGTACAAAAATGCTCTTAAATTGTAAGTCTACTAATGGAAGGGTATGGGGGGTGTAAACGTTTGACGTTTTTGGGGGTTTACATCATCGATGGTGGCGGTCTTCTGCATTTTGCATTCTTTTGCTTTTAATGTTGCTGTTGCAAGTTTTGCTCTTGCTGTTAACTGTTGCAAATGAGGTTGTGGAAACATTGCTTGCTCGCTCTCTCTCGCTCCATCTTTCTCTCTCTCTCTCTGTCTCTCTGCTTGCTCGCTGATTCATAAATGACATAGATATAGATATGCATGTGTGTGTGTTTCTTTCTGTGGTGTCTTTCTGCGGAACTGTCTGTTGCTCTGGTGTGTGCGTATTTTGGATGCACAGAAGGGGGGGGGGCAGGAAATATATAAGAAGAGATTTTGCATGTGTGTGTGTATGTGCATGTATAAATATTTATATATATATATGTATGTAAAGGGATAATAGTGCCATAGGTATAACGTATGATCTATGTTTGTAAACGTAGGTAGTAATTATTACACGATCGAAAAAAAAAGGTTCGTAATCGAAATTAGTAATCGATAATTGCTAATCATGACTGATATCGTAATCCATGCATTTACGTCTGCTTTTTGTTCAAATATTGTCCTAAGCTTAAACTTAATCCGTGTGTGGAGCGTGTTTAGGTGTACGAAATCGCCTCCAACATCCACCAGCAGCAACAACAGAAGCAGCAACAACAGCCGCTGACCCTCTACACTTCTCTCTCCTGCTATACATCGAGAGAATACATTTGGGATCATGGCCTGACGGCTTGCTGCTACTGGCTGCTGCTGGTTTCTGTGGCCTGTGGGACGCATCTTAAAACTAAAGTACACGATAATTGTGATAGTGTGGATCGCTCGAATCGGATCGCTCAACCAATCGATTTGGAAGAGTAAAATGTTTATAAAAGATTTAACAATACGATTAACACACAGTGTGATCCCTGGTTCTCTGGTTGCGGCTGGTAGGTCTCCTCCTGTTCTCGCAGCAGTCTGTCGTCGCTACCTCTCGATCAGAAGTAGTGCGGCGACTGCCCGTTGTAGCGATAGTTGACAATGTCGTTGCCAATGTTCGGGATGTTTGTGATGTTGCTGATATTTCCGATGTTAGTGCTGTTGAGGTGGCCACCAATGCTGCTGCTGTTGTTGTTGTTGCTGCTGATGGAGTGGCCAATGTTGCTGCTGCACTAGAGTCGCTCCACAAATTTCGTTAGCTGATCGGAGGCATCGGGCAGGGCTCCGCCGGCATTGCCGACGTTTACGTTGCCAACATTAACGCCCACACCGACGCCAACACCTACGCCTACGCCCACACCGACGCCAACGTCCTGGGGGACACCGGGGAGCGGCGACTGGTGGTGCATCCCGTGGTTGTGCATGCCGTCGTGTGGGCCCTGCGGCGCTGGCGAGTGGCTGCTCATGACGTGGTGGGGCGAGGGCTGCGCCCGCGGCGAGGCGGATGGCGCAGCCCGTGGCGATGGTGCTGAGCGGGGCGACGGTGTTGGCTGTGGTGAGCGGATGGGCGGAGAGGAGCGCGCGGACTGCATTAGCTGCTGCTGGAGGGAGTGCGGCGTGGGGGGGCCCATCACCTGGGAGCCGGGACCTCCTCCGGGCCCCACAGCAGCCGGATTTTGCTGGGCATTTTGGGCATTTGGCATCGACACCTGCTGCATCATTTGCTGCTGGAGGGGTTGCTGCTGCTGTTGTTGCTGCTGCTGCATACCCGGCGGCAGCACGCCCATCTGCTGCTGTTGCTGATGCTGCTGTTGGCCGGGACCAGGCTTGACGCCTACTCCAACGCCAACGCCCACTCCGACACCGGCTCCGCCTTGGCCCTGCTGCAGGATGTTGGATGCTGCCGCCGCCACTGCCGCATTCGCCATGGAGTACTGATCCGCTCCGGGGCCAGATGCTCCTCCGCCGCCGCCCCCAGCCACACCGCCAGGCACTCCGACGGCTCCTGCACCGCCGCCAGCATTAAAGTTGCCCGCTCCGCCGCCCGGGAACTGCTGCTGCTGCTGGCCCACCGCTCCGCCCATGTGCGGGCCGCGCTGTCGTTGTGGATACGGAGGTGGATATTGGTTCATGTGCACGTAGCGCATTTTGTTCCAGCCCTGATTGGGAACCTGAAGTGGATAGAAAACATGTGTGAGTACTCGATCTTATTTGCTTGCAAAAGAAAACACAGACATAGGACAGAGTTACAAGCAGAGCTAAATACATTTTGGGACAAACACAAAAGCACAAAAACTACGGGCTACAAATACGTCCAGCTTTTCAGCTCGAGTATCGGGCATCAACTATGCTCGTGTTAAGCCAACATTCTTACATTTTAGGTGATTTTTCGCACCTGAAGAAATAATTTTATATTTCTGGGTAATTGAAAAAATCGGCAAAAAGCCATTTAAAATCAACAACAAAGAAATTCAAACTACATTAATGTAAATTAGTATAAATAAAAATATAATTATAATGCCTCTACTCTTGTGCTCATCCAGCCGCAGGCGTCATCCTCTGCACTCGTCAACCAACATCAACCACAAACGAAGAAACTGAGAATCGATAGGCCGACGAACGGTGTCGAATTTTTTGAAAATTAAAGGACTTGAGAAGTGTTTTGGCTCGCTCTTCAGCTTTTCCGCTCTCCCAGGGATTTGATTTTTGGATCTTGAATTTTGACTCCGGAATCATAGATATATATTGTTCCTTTACTGCTTTATGAGATTTGCATTGGCTATTGCTTTTGAGATTTTTCTTCGAGTTTCGGTCTTATGTGTTTTGATTTATGAATTGTTTAAAATGTTGAAGCGTTTTGTGTGTTTTGTAGACGTTTTTTGCAGTGTTTTCGGAATATAGTTTTTAGCGTTTTTAGGACATGTCTTCCAGCGACGTTTGTGTACTCTGAACACACTCTAGACTTAGTATGTTCGTTCTGTATTCAGGAGTTTTTGTTTTCGTGTAATATACCCCCAGTCGCCAGTAGCTGAACTGAATAATTGAATAATGTGAGTGTTCACATTAGCTGGCCTAGATAATATAGAAAATCAAGAACAACCCCAACAACATTCTCACCATAGTAGAATCCCCAGATCATGGCGGCCATAATCAAGCATGGCGTTTAGGATTACCACTACCAGGATTGTCAGCATAAAGCCAATAATCGCTGTTGTAACAATGCCGTCAAAGCTTGTCTTATAGTATATCTGTGTGTGTGTCTTCATGAGTAAGCGAGTATTTTATTAGATAAATGCAAATATATAAAGCAATAAACATTGTGCATTGGATTGTGTAATGAGAATATGTGGATCATAAACATGTAAACAGTTTATGTAGATTGAGTTAAATTCGAATTGGCTTGGTTTGGGGTTTAATTTCTTGTTCTTTTTGTTTAGTTTCTGGAATTGTTGGATATAAATTGCAGCAGTATTTTCTTCTCTTCCGCTGTAAGGAAAGACAGCCCTCTCCCGGCATTTACGAACCTTTCCATGGAATGGACAATCTCACCCACATACATAAACGCAATGTTAATCTGCGAATCATTAATTGGGGGGAGGGTGGTGCGATTGCAGGTGGAAATAGTGGGGATTAGACATGGTAACAAGCAAAGTAACAGTAGCAGTAAGAGTAACAGTACGCAAACCAATACTACCCTTACCAAAAAGGAAGGCAGTTTGTCGACACTTACCATTCCACCCTGTGAGGTGATGCCTGGTGGCAGATTCTGGAGTATCATTTGGGCGGAGCTCTGCTGCATATTGGGCATACGCTGATGTGGACCTCCGGGTCCGCCCGGCTGCATCAGATTAACCTGCTGCTGCTGCTGCTGATTTGGATTCATCTGCTGCTGGGGTCCACCCGCCTGCTGTTGCTGCTGCTGCTGGTTCATCATGTGCTGCATCTGTTGCTGCTGCATGGCCTGCTGTTGTTGTTGTTGTTGCTGCTGTTGTTGCTGCTGCTGCTGCTGGGGATTCTGGGGTCCGTTGCCCGATTGGAGGCCACCGCCAGGTGCACCACCGCCCACCGCTGTGGCATTGATATGCGTCTGCTGGCGCTGCTTGATTATGGCCGCCATGATCTGGGGATTCTGCTTGAGGATGGTGAGAATGTGCTGGTTGCTCTCGTTGGTGGGGTTGTTCTTGATTTTCTGCATTATCTGGGCCAGCTGATGGGTGTTGAGGCCGGTTGCTTGTCCGCCGCCACCTCCGGGCGGTGGGCGCACGCCTCCGGCACCGGCCGCGCCCATTGGCGTGCCCATGCCGCCCATTCCCATACCATGTTGTCCGCCCACGGGCATCTGGCCACCGCCGCCGACCACTCCGCCGCCCATCTGGTTGGGCAGCATCATCTGCTGCTGCTGCTGTTGTTGTTGTTGCTGCTGCTGCTGCTGCTGCTGCTGTAGAACGTTCTGCTGCTGCTGCATCATTTGGTTCGGCTGTCGCATTCCCGTGGCATTGTTCACGTACCGCGGCTGGGGCACACCCGAACCGCCACCGCCGGAGCCCCACTGGTCCATGGAGAGCAGGTTGTTGGCATTGCCAACCAGGACGTTGCCGCAATTGCCGGCACCGGGCACAGGTCCCGACGGATTGCCACCGCCGGCGCCGATGCCAGCTCCGAGTTGATTCACATTGACTCCCACGCCTCCAACACCGACTCCACCGACGCCCACTCCGCCGACCATGCCCACGCCCAGCTGATTCACGTTCTGATTGGGCACACCTCCGACTCCTCCGACGAGGTTGCGATTCATTACGGGCGGGGCCATCGGGACGCCCTTGCCAAAGCCACCGCCATGCGGCACCTGCTGGCGTGCGGCCTCCTCCTGCACCTGCTTCACCACCTGCAGTACGTTCGGCGACGGCGGGTGTCCGCCCCCGCCTCCGGGCTTCATTCCGATGCCCGGCTGATGGGGATGCGGTGAGGTCATGCCGCCCATTCCGCTTGCAGACACTGGCGAAGGCACTGGCACGGCGGACGGTGAATGTCCGCCAACTCCTGGAAGCAGCACTGTGGACTGGCCGACGGGCATCACATTGGACATGCCCACAACGGGCACGCCACCAGCGACGACTGTCGGCCCGCTAACCGCCGGTCCGGGCAGTGCCGATGGAGCTGCTGTTCGCGACATGAGGGCCACTCGACGACGCAGTAGCTGCTGTTGTTGGAGTCTGATGGAGAGAGATGGAATGGGTGATTAAAAATTGAAGGATGAAGGATGGCGGACTTTGATTGGATACTCACTTCTGCTGGAGTTGCTGCTGCTTTAGCTTATGCTTGATATTCGGGCAGAAGGGCACGGGACACTTCTGCTCCTGGCAGTGCTTGGCATGGTAGCAGCAGAGGGCAATAAGCTGCTTGCAGATGGGGCAGCCACCGTTCGTCTTACGCTTGCAGTTCTTGGTGTGCAGGACGACGCGTTTCATCTTCTGGCACGAGGGCAGGCGGCAATTGGCGTCGCGGCACTGGCAGGCGTGCACCAGAGACTGAATGCAACGCTGGATGGACTGTTTGCGCGCCTCCTGGGGATTGGCCTGCTTGTGGTCCGCCGGTGCAGAGCCGTCGTCGATGTCAAATCCAAGCTTCTCCATTTTATGGGGATGCCCGACCTTCTCCTTGCACACAATGCACAGATCAAAGTCCTGCAATATAAACAAATACGATTTCGATATGGAATAATAATTTTTTGAAATTTGTGGCGCTGGCACTATGGTTCCAATGACCACTTTTGTTGTCCTAAATGAATAACTCGCGAACGAAGTAAGATATTTTGATTTAGTTTTTTGATATTAGTTAAGTATAGCAAGGGGCATGTTTTTTGAGAAAATGGGCGTGGCACCGCCTTTTTTAAGGAAAAATCGGTTTTTCTTTCTCAAAATGTTAGTTAGAAGCAAAAAAGGATGGGAATAAGTTTAGCAGTGCAAGATTCTATAAAAAACGAGAAGGGACGTGTGAGGCGCTTTTTACGCGTCACAACTTTTATACCCGGCACTCAGTACTACATCTGCACCTTAGCGGTGTTTTGTCAAATTTTAAATTTGTTCTTCATCTGTCATCTACATCTACAACACTTCTCACACCAACACGCTCCGTTAGCTCGCCGCCCTTCCTTTGACCCACATACTGCAAACTCGAGGCAGAGGCAGAGGCACCGTCCGCACACAACAAAAAAAAACAAATAAAAGCTGCGGGACGGGGTGGGTTAAAAGTCGGAAGAGGCATCGGCAGGGGGATGGCAGAGGCAGGGGCCGAGTGAAGCAGAAGCAGAGTGTGAATGAGAGAATGTAAAAAAAAACAACAAAAGCTGCGGGACAGGGTGAGTTTAACCACTGGAAAATAATTTCTCCATTGTGGCTTTAATAATGATCCAATCGGATCTCAATTTGGTGATCTGATAGATGTGGCCATTTCCTACGGAATGACGTCTTTAGTTTTCTTTTATCTTCAAAATTGTAGATTTGGGAGGTTTTCGCTCTTTTGTGGGGGCGGGCGGGGGCGTGGCTCATTTTTGAAATACACTTGTTACAGTGTGAGCATACAGAAGTCTGGATGCAGAATTTGTTGGCTCTAGCTTTTATGGTCTCTGATATCCAGGCGCTTAACAAGACGGAAGGACAGACAGACATGTCTCAATCGACTCGGCTATTGATGCTGATCAAGAATATATATTCTTTATGGGGTCGGAAACCAAGTCTTGGTTTTAAATTTTAAAAATTAGCTTTTGGCCAAGAAAAGTGGTCATTGGGACCTTAGTGGTTTGGTGGGTGACTTACATCGCATACGGTGCAATGATACCGCGTCTCGACGGCCGTCTTGCAGTTGTTGCACGTATATACAAACTTGTCCTGGCCCTGATTGTGCAGCTCGTACAGCATGGACAGTGTCGAGAACTGGGCGCGACGCAGCGACGAGAACTCGAAGTGCTTGTCGCGGGCCAGCGTCAGGAATGCGTCGCGACCGTCCATTAGATCGCAGGTAAGCAAGGGATCGGGGTCTTGTATGGGCTGCAAAATATCAAATGCGATTAGAAATTCAGGATCCGTCTTCTGCTGTGTCGCTTGAAGACTTACCGCTAAACTGGCAGCAGACTGTGCCGAGTGCAGGCGTATCACGAAAAATACTTCCTTGTGCTTCTCCATTGTGGCGTAGATCTTCGCGGAGAGATCATTTCCGGACTGATGCTCGTTGGACTTCTTGCTGTTCTTCCGTTGTGCAGCCTTCGACTTGTTGGACTTCTTGGCCTTCTTCTGGCCCTTCTTCTTGCCATCGCCACTCACCTCGTTGTCCTCGATAGAGAAGAGCTGGGCCAACGATTAAAATACAATTATTAGAGGGGGGAAAAACAGAAGTTAAGAAGTGATGAACACCTCGGAATATCGGCTTACATTCGCCGCTGCAGCTGCCTCGGCGGCCTCTGCTTGCTTGCGTTTCTCCTCTTCCTCTTGGTCAAGCTCCTTGATGCTCTCCTCGAGGACATTCGGCCAAAAGTCGCCCTCGAAGTAGGGCAGCTCGGCGGCGGAGCCCAGCTTGTCCTCCATAGCTTGCTTGAGTATGTCCTTATAGTCCTGGATAATGCGCTCGATCATGCCCTTGTCAAGCATCTTCTTGTACCATTCCTGCAGCCGCTTCGGCTTCGGTATCTTCTGGTCAGTAGGGTGGCAGTGGAAGATGTAATCGTCCCCCTCCGACGGCGGACACGCCCAAATGTGGGCCATCGTGTATCCGAGCTGCTTCACGTAATCCATGTATCCAAGCAGGATTTCATGGTAGACAGCTGTGCGGTATTGTCTCGGCCGGAAGAAGTGCACCGAGTCAAGGTAGGCAATATAGACGCGGCGAGTGTTGGGCGCCGGGCATTCGGAGCCGTACTCCTGCACGTGCATGCCGAAGAAGCACACATCGACGCCGTCCACCTCCTCGAAGGCGAACAGGGCCTTCGCCCGGTAAGGGAACTCATTCATCATGTCTCCGCCCTCGACGAAGCGACGCCGCATGCCCGGCTTCACCTCCACGCATTTCTCCGAAGAGCTGACGACGCGGATATGCACCTCGCCGGCACCGGCCTCCTTCTTCTTGAGGAAGTTATTTACGCGAGTCTCGATGTACACGCCGAGCTTTGTGGTGGGCAGGCGCTTTGCATTGAACTTATTCTCCTTCCGCTTTGAGTTCTTTTTCTTCAGGCAATTGTCGCATACAAAGCCGCCGGGCCAGATAGAGTCCAACCAGAGGACGCAAATCTGATGCTGCTTACGTCCGCACTCCTGGCAGTCAACAAAAGGTTCCAGCTCTAGGTGATCGTTTTTCATCTCCTTGAATTGGTCCTTTTTTATTTGTCTACAGAGTGATACGGAAAGAGAGTTAAGATTAGAGATCAGAGTTAAGGATAAAATTGAATTATTTGCTACTTACGTTTGGGACTGCAACGGATCGTCACCCAGTGTGACCGTGTCCCCCTGGATGTCGTTAAAGCACTTTTGGCAGAAGGTGTATCTATTTGAGGCGACACCGTATTCCTTTAGACTGTTTGTTTGTTTTGGTTTTGTTTTGTTTTTGGTTTTGTTTACGAAGATTGATTTAGTTTGTTGTTGGATGCGATGTACGAGAGTTTTGAAGATGGCAGCCAAAAAGAGCAACAACAATAATACAACGAACGAGCGCAGGCGAGTGTTGGTAAGTGGTGGCAGGTTGTAGATGGTTTGGTGGGTGGGTGAGAGCGAGATGGCCATCGTCATCATCATCATCATCATTGTTGAGCGTGAACGTGCGCGTATGTGTGTGTTTTGTTTGATAATGCATTTTGGATAGGAGTGCGTGCGCGGGTGGTGTGCGTGAGAGACAGAGAGTGTAATGGAATGGTGTGCGGCGATCAGTTCGGTGTTTTGTTTTTATGTTGTTGTTTTATTTTGATTTATTGTATTAATTAATTGTTACGGCACACGAGTACACACAGAAACAGAGGCACAGGTCAATGGATAATACACGTATTATTATATGGATAAAAAGACGACACGTAATGCAGAGACACAAATACACGGACACAGATTTGCCCAGCAGATATGCACATTTATAAGGCGCAACACAGTTGTAACGGGAATTATTTATGGTTTTTGTATTTGTTTTTTTGTTTTGGCGGGGGAAAGAAACACACAGGGAGCGGGAGATGTAATGGAAAAGAACGTAAGAAAGAAAGAAAGGAAGAGAAACGAAAAGTGTTAGGTAATTTGCATTAAAATTGGTTTACACACAATTATTACAACAATAGGAAAAGGTGGGGGTAAGGGATGGATAGTTGAAGTCGAAGGACACGGAACGGCTGCATGGAATATACTTGCAAATCGAGGACCTTTGAAGGACATCCTACATCGATACATCGATACCAAAGCTACAGTGATCAGTTTTCTAGCGAAACTTAGGGGGAAACTTTTCTATTCTTTTTTTTTTTGCTCATTCCATTCAAATTTATAATTTTATCAAATTATTAATGAAGTTTGGTCGATTTTGGAGTCATACCGTGGACACAATGTGAATTCTTTAGGGAGAGTTTTGTTTTTATTGGAAACACGGAAAGCAGAAGCTCTGGGGTGGAGGATCAATCCCGTAAGCACAGCGGACAATTTAGAAGCACAACAGATAAACACGTGAGGGAAGGGGGATACACTAGTACAGGAATACACGGGACATAGGATTGTCCCTTGGGATAGATACATATGTGTGGAGGAGGAGGAGGCAGGAGAATACCACATACCTGTTTTGATAGCTATAGTATTTAGCGTCGCGCGGTATCGTGCACAGCTGCTTGCCATAGCAGCACAGCACTTGTGGATTGAATGTATACTTCCTGCCGCAACAGTAGCCGAGGGCCTGCATCACTGGATCGATCTCAGCTTCAAACACCTCCGAAAGCTAAACGATAGAAATGGGGGGGAGTAGACAAAAGATTAGGCATCGATTGGCAGTAGTAAGTGTTAATGATGTACATTACCTTGGTACAGTAACGGTAAACGCGTGAGGTCTTGCGATTGTACAGCCAAGCGTTGTCAAACATAAGCCAGACATCGTCCACATACTCCCAGGGATCACTATACTTTCCGTTCTGGATGTTATTGCGGATGGTGCCCAGATCCATTGGCTTTTTGACGATCTCAAAGTAGTCAGGAATGCCCAGAGCCTGTGGATCCACTGGATACCGGAACGGCACCGATTCCGGCTCCTGGCGCAGCAATTTCTCCAGAGTTGGCAGCAACGCGGTGCGCAGCTCCTCCGGATTGAATTCTGCAAAAGAATTGTTAAGCGAATTATTAATTTGATTGAAAATATTAATTTTATTTAAATTTAAGTAAGAAAAGCCTAGTCCTACGATAACGAAAGTAAATAATTGAAAGAGGTGCCGGCTTGGCAGGCAGACGTCTGTAGGTTCTCATATCTAAAGCAAAACTGTTTCCTCTATGCTGATCGGACTGCAAAATCAAACGAGACTTGAGCTTCAGCTTGTGCTGAGAGAGCAACTGAGAGAGAGCCGGCAGAGGGAATATACTGCCGTTTCTAGCTATGTACATCTATTTACTGTCTATGTTTATGCCCAGATAACGGGTGGCTGTATCAAGTGTCGCTCGAGCTCACGCATTTTTCTGCGCATATTGCACTTTCCGGCTGGCCACACGAGTGTCCAACCGATGGGGGACATTTGAATGTAAACAAAATTGTTATGTGATACGCCAGAGCATAGAATGAGTCAAGGAATGTGTTTAAAGTGAGGCTTTGATATCAAGACTCCAATTTTACAGGGAACTTGGACGAAGAAAATAATAGCGTTATCTACTATCTTTGATTATTTTAAGGAATTTGAATATCAGGGATTTTCTTGGCGTCAGTACAGGGCAGCTACGATATGGCATGAAATAAAATATAAATTTCTTTGTTTATAACTTACGGCATTTCTTCTTCTTGTCGCCGGCATTGAGGGCCAGTGGCTCGGGTACAAGTGGCTTTGGCTCAATCTTGGGCTTGAGGTCCTTGGCACCGTCGTGGGCACCATTGATATCATCCTTGCCACCACCGCCGCCTTCGTGTGTGGCCGATGAAGCACTCTCGTCGACATCCATGGGCTCGGTCTTGATCTTCACATCGCCATCGCCGTCTGCATCCTCCGATTTGATCTCCATTTTGATCATGCTGGTGCCATCGTTGTTGACATTCTTGCCTTTGCCGCCCGTGGAGCAGTCCATCTGGGAGCTGTCGTTGTTGCCGCCGCAGCTATCGTCCATGAACTCCTTCTTGATCTCGTCCTCCTGCTTCATCGAGTCCAGCTTCCCCTTGGAGGCCTTGCCACCGCCACCGCTGCCGTTCGTATCGTTCGTGGGCGATGGGGTGTCGTCGTCGTTATCACGCGCCGCTGCCTCCAGGGCGGCCATTTGAGAGGAGAGGCTGCTCGAGCTGCTTATCATGCGGCTGGGCTGCTGCTGGTTACTGTTGCCTCCCGAAGAGGTCGTCGCACCGCCGCTGCCCTCGCCGCGCGCAGACATCAGCATGTGGGGATTGCTGTTCGGCGCCGAAAGGGAGCCCCCGCTGCCCGGTCCGCTCGATGCAATCGTTGCCGTCGCCGACGAGGAGGAGTTGCAGCTAAGCGGCGTCGTTGCCGATGTCGTCGTGGTCGCTGTGGTAGCCATAACGCCACCGACTCCGCCCACACTGCCGCTCCCACTGCCACTACCACTCCCACTGCCGCAGTTGCTGCCGTTGCTGTTGCTGCCGTTGCTGTTGCTACCATTGCTACCGTTGCTATTGCTGTTGCTGTTGCTGCTGGCGCACGTCGCGGCCGCCGATGTGGGGGCACTGTTCGCCGCCAGGCCAGAGGCACTGGTGGCCGGCACAGGTGAGGCCGGAACGTAGGGCGGAGTGTTGGCGCGGTTGCTCATCGGCTGCATGAGGCTGTTTACCGACGGAGGATTAATGATGCTGTTGCTGTTGTTATTGCTGTTGTTTGAGGGAGTCCCAACGGGGCCATTGGAGAGGAATCCGCTGCCTCCGGGCGAGGGACTAGGCGCTGAAACCGTCATTCCCCCCGCACTCGAGGGTACTCCACCTCCGGTTGTTGCTCCTTGTCCTTGTCCACTGGCTCCTCCACTACCAGCCGCACCAGAGCCTGTGTTGCCTGCTCCCGCACTCAAGGCTGAATCGAGGCTCGTGGGAGTCGGTGGCATGTTGTTCAGGACACTTCCAGGCGGTTTCTGCTGCTGCTGCTGTTGCATGGTAGAGTTAAAGCTGTTGCTGTTCGGCTGTTGCTGCTGTTGCATGGGCGTAGCGTTGCTGAAGGGCGACTGGGGCATGAGCATGCCCGCTGCTGCCGCTGCCTGCTGATGGAGGTGTCGCTGCTTCATAATTTCGCTCAGTTGCGGATTGCTGCCCGCTCCGGTGCCGCCATTGGCGTTGAGGAACTGCTGCTGCTGCTGCTGTTGGCCAGGCACTGGACTGGTGAGGACATTGGCCGCTCCAGCGGCCGTTTGAAAGGGAGATAGCACGGGATTGACCACCATGCCGCCGGGACTGGGTCCTGGAGGACCCACCAGCATGTTGCCCGCCTGCTGCTGTTGTTGCTGCTGTTGCGGGAATTGCATGCGCTGCTGCTGCTGCATCGTGAGCATGTTGCCGCCGGGCGAGTGGCTACGCATCGTCACCATATTCGCCTGGCCGCCGACTCCACCGACGCCCACTCCAACGCCAACACCGAGTGCTCCTGCAAGTCCAGTGACACCCACAGGGCCACCGCCGCCAACTGGAACGCCCGTCTGCTGCTGCTGCTGACCGACAACCATGCCAGGACCCTGGGGACGGAGCTGCTGTGGCTGCATCACGCCACCCATGGGACTGATAATGGGACGGACTCCGCTAACGGATTGCTGCTGTGCCTGCTGCTGCTGTTGCTGCGGCACACCAACGACGCTCTGCAGGCCACCAACTGTCGGATTGGAGACGGACACGGAGCCGGGGACGCCGACTCCACCAACGCCAGGCACTCCAACGCCGCCGGGAACCACAACGGGTCCGGGACCGGGCACAGGGCCGGTTCCCTGCTGCTGCATGAGCATCTGCTGGTGCTGCTCCTTGCGCTTCAGCCGCTTCTCCTCGAGCTCCTTCTGAATCTTGTATATCTTCTCGGCGAGCAGGTGGTAGTACTCGGAGCGGCTCTTGGCCATCTCGTACATGTCCTTCTCGACCTTCTCCGCATACGAGACGAGGTTGTGCATGCGCTTGTCCTGCATCGTCGTCGGATCGGAGGTGGGGAAGATGGCCTGCACGAGCTTATGGACGAGGTGGTTACGCAGATCCGCCGTCACCGATTCCCGCCAGTCCTTTTCGCTGTCGTTCCCAGTAGCGCCTGTTCCACCTCCTCCACCGGGACCACCGCTGGCGCTGTTTCCGCCGCCGCCTCCTCCTCCGGCTGCATTTTGATTGGGATTCGCATTCGCGTTCCCACCAGTGGCACCCGTCGTATCAGCGGGCATCAAGACACTGGATCCCTGGCCGCCGGCAGTCACGCCAGTCGCACCTCCAGGCCCTCCAGCGCCGACCTGCGGATGCACTTGGGGCACCTTCAGCTTCGCAAGCTGATCCGCCTGCCCCACCAGCTGTTGCTGCTTGTCCGCCGATCCACCGCCAAAGTTGGCGCCGCTGAAACCACCGACATTCACAGACAGCGGCGTGGGAATGTTGCCCAACTGCTGGGAGGGATTTGTCTGCTGTTGCTGCTGGTCGACCATGTTGGATAGGCCGCCACCACCGCCGCCGCCGCGTCGCCGATTGCCAGCATTGGCGGCATTGCACTGGCCCTGGAGCATTTGCTGCTGCTGCTGCTGCTGGAGGCTATTGACGTCGTTTGGCAGGACGGAACCAGATCCGGCAGGTCCAAGGACTCGCACTGTGGGTGGGGCGCCCTGCATTCGAATACCCGGAGGCATCCCCTGCTGCTGCTGACCCGCTCCGACAGCGCCAATCATATTGCCGGCCGTCACGGGGGAGAGTCCCACCTGACCCATGGCATCGAAGCGCCGCAGCTCCTGCTGTAGGACCTGTTGTTGGTGCTGTTGCTGCTGCTGTTGTTGCTGCTGCTGTTGCTGGACTTGCTGCTGCTGCTGGGCGAGTTGTTGCGCCATTTCCGCATTGGATTTGGGTGCACCACCCTGCTGGGGCATCACGAGCCCAGAGTTCTGCGCGCCTCCTGGGACTCCTACCTGTTGCTGCTGCTGCTGCTGCTGCTTTCCATCAACTCCCCCGACGCCACCGAGCACGGTGAGAGGTTGGTTCTGTTGCTGTTGTTGTTGCTGCTGCTGCTGCAGACTGCCGGGACCGCCTGCCACTCCGCTGCCTGGTGGTCCCCCGCCGGGTGCCGCAACACTGCCCGCGCCGACACCGACATTGGCGTTCTGGAACACCGAATGATTCTGGCGGAACGGATAGCAGATGATGCATGTGCTGTTGGTGCAGGTCTTGTAGTGGAGCAGGATCTGACGAGATGAGGCACAGTGCTGCATGGTGCAGTCCTTGCTCTGCTTGCAGGTCCCCATGTGTGCCAGCACCGCCTTCATCGCCTTGCAGTAGTTGACGTTGCAGACCTCGCGGTTCGGGTTGAGGTTCTCCCGCCGGTTGCACTTGTGCGCGTGCAGCAGGAGCATCAGCTGCTGCTGGATCTGTCGCTTGCGGTCGTCGGGCACATCCTGGCGATTGGCTTGCGGTCCTCCCGCTACGCCACCGCCACCGCCTGCAGCCGTCACAGCTCCTGCGGCGCCCACAACGCCCTGCACTCCCTGCTGTTGTTGCTGCTGCTGGGAGGTTCCTGGCTGCTGCTGCTGCTGCGGATGGCCCAGCAATTGGTTCGGCTGTGGGGGACGCGGTCCCAGGGCACCCGGCTGCTGCTGCTGTCCAAGCATCTGCTGCAGTTGCTGCTGGGGATTCCCGCCCACTAGCTGTCCGGTGGGTCCGGTGCCATCGCCGCCCAAACTGGGCATCGGGACAACAGTCCCCACGGGGCGATTGCCCTGCGGCATGACTCCGACTCCTCCTCGCTGCGCCATCTGCTGGGCAAGCAGCTGTTGCTGCTGCTGTTGCTGTTGTTGCTGCTGCTGCTGGGTATTGTTGCCACCGGGTCCGCCGTACTGGCCCACGCCGTAGGGCATGCTGTTGAGTTGTCCTGCGGGAAAAAATAGGCAACGAGATTATTAATCGAGGCACCCCCGTGGACTCGTTGTACTTTCGACCTACCCATCTGCATGTTGGGATTCTGCATGCGTGGTCCTCCGCCGCCGGGTCCATTACCTGGGCCGCCTGGTCCGTTGCCGCCGCCGGCTGCGCCCATTATGTGGGGTCCACGCAGCATATGCTGCTGCCCGACCATGCGTCCCATCATCGGACCGTTCTGCATGTGCAGGGCCTGATTGGGGGCCACAGAACCGCCGCTGTTAGCGCCCACAGGGCCTCCAGATCCGCCTGCCACAGATACGGCATTGATCATGCCACCGCCTGGCTGCTGCTGCTTAAGCTGATTAACCATGCCGCCCATGCCGCCGCCGCCGCCGACGCTGTTTGTGAGGACCATGTTCCCCAGATTCCCTTGGGCGATTGTGTTCATTCCTGCAGCAAAAGGAAGACACAGAGAGACAGAATGTATGGCAGAGGCGGTAGGGATTAGCTTAATAGTCACTCACCTGGTATGGCATTCATACCATTGTTTCCATTATTCGATATGGACATGGGCATCGAATTGGCCATACCCATCTGCTGCATACCGCCTTGATTGGGTGACTGCAGATTTGGGGATTTACTGCCCAATTGGTTCATGCCGGGCACAACCATAGATCCCTTTTGGCCCTGCTGCTGCTGCTGTTGCTGCTGCTGGAGGAGATGTTGCAGCTGCTGCTGGTGCTGCATTTGGCGTAGCTGTTGCTGATTGCCAGCTCCGCCACCGCCGCCGCCGCTGCTGCCACTGCCATCGTCCCCGCCATTGCCTGGCTGCTGGGAGCCACCGCCGCCGGCTCCGTTCATTTGGGAGGTACCGACAACCTGGCCGCCTGGGCCACTAGAGCCGGGGCCGGGGCCTGTCTGTTTGTTTGGTCCGACACCGACGGCCTGGGGTCCGCCGCCGGCTGTTGAGTTTGTGTTGCTAACGACATTCGATGCGCCGCCGCCACCGCCGCCACTCAGCTGATCCGACCAGCCGCTGTTCGACGACACCAGCTCATCGGGTAGATTCTCTTCCAGGAAGAATGAGATATCCGCTAAGAAAACAATAAATAAATAAATCAAAAAATGTATCAAAAGGTTGGTGGAAAGGGAGGGGGGGACTACTCACTTGGATCCATCTTAACCCGCTTTGTGGGCGGTTCGTCCATGTGATCCGCCATCATGAAGATCGCGTTGGGTTCTGCAGATTTTTGCAGACGTTCGTACCGAAATCCAATTTAAATTTAATTTTAAGTCGAAATTAAATTGAATGAATTGAATTGAATTGAATTGAATGAAATGCGAAGGTAGAATGATGATGATGGATAGAGGAAGGATATGCGACACGATGCTGCAGCTGCACGCCGACGCTGCTGCACGCCAAAGGGACGCCGCCGCCGCTGGCCGAAATTGTTTTCCAAAATTTTCCTTCAAATATCGTTTTTTTTTTTAGTTTTTATTTGTTTCTGAATTATTTTGCGAATTTTCACAATTTATATTGAATTGTTCCGTTTCCTTATTATTTTTTTTTGACACACTTTTCAACGCACACGAGAGGGGGGAAACGTACGCGGGAACGAGAACGAAACACGAGCACAGGGAAAAATATGACTGCACTGCCCGACAGTCGACACTCAAATAACAATGGCAATGGGATGTTCAAAGTTATAGTTTGTGATTGCCAAAGGTTGCTGAGTTACCAGTGGAAATTGTATTTCAGTAAGAATTTTAGGATGCTTTAATAAAGCTGTCAACTGATTTGCTCCTGATCCAGCTGCTGTTCCCCTTTTGTTTTTAGTTTTACTTGTCGTTGAGATTGTAGTTGTTGTTGATGTTTTGTGATTTGCGGCAGTTTTAGCTCCTCCTCCTCCTCCCCTTGCTTCTGCTCCTGTTGCTGCTTCACCAGATGATCTCGACGTTCTGTTCCTCGAAGTAACCTCCTCTCCTGGCGGCGGCACAGATGCTGTGGCTACTGTGGCTGCTATCGATAGTGTGGAAAATTTGTTGTCGAGTGCGGATGGTTTACACAAAATGTAGATCGCCCAAAGATTCGTCCCCGCGTCCGTGTCAAATTGCCACGTCGCTCCTGTCGTCCGCTGGTCGCCGAAAATGTCGTCGTACCACAACTGCGCCTCCTGCTTTTCCTGGTTATTTGGGTGGATTTTGTTGTTTTTTAAACACCAGTCAACGCACGCGTGCATTTTCGTGTTGGTTTGCCCCACCAAAGAGATGACCTTGGTTTGGGGATGGGGGTGGTGGTGGTGGTGCTGCTGTTTGTGGTGGCTTCTTCTCCTTTTTCTTTTACTTCTGGTTCTTCTTAACTTTCTGCTTCTGTTTCTAGCAACTTGTTGTTGCTGTTTTATAGTTAATGACGTTTTTGGTTGTTTTTTTTTTGTTGCCGGAATATTGCGGATGGGTTGGGGGGTATTTTGTTGGTATTTATTATATGTCGATGATTATTATGAAGTTTTTTGAATAAAAACGTTTGACGAAATAATAAAATTCGTAGAAGCAGCTATTTTTGTTTTTGTTTATTTTCTTTTGTGTGGGTTGTTAATGTTCCCTCGTCCTTCTTTGAGAGAAACAAAGGGAGAAGGAAAAAGAGCGCGCGCGAAAATGTCTTTTTTTTTGTATAATCGTTATTTCTTATTGCATTTGTTGCATTTTACATTTATTTTATTTTTTTGCTGTAATTTGTTGTTGCTGTTGTGATTTTTGTTGTTTTAACATTTTGGCGGCTTTTTCTTTTTTTGTCTCTTTCTTATGGCGCTCTTCGCTTTCTCCTTCTTTCACTCTCCTTCTCTCTCAGGCTTTGGCTACACTTGTTCTTCGTGGTTTTGTTTTGGTTAAAAAAAAAAACGCAATTCACATGTTGGTAGTTGTTGTTTCTGTTTGTTGTTGTTGTTGTTATTGTTGCACTTTTTATTGTTGTGTTGCGTTTGTTACGTGTGCTGCCGCTGTTTCTGCCTTCTTCGTTGTTGCTCCGTCGTTCCTCGTTGCCTCTGATCTAACGTTGCACTTAAACTGTAAAAAAAAACCACGCAAACACAGAATAAGACACAGGATGCAACACATGGGATTGATTGGGTGGGTGAGAGAGGCCCATAGAACGCGACTAAGACTGCGGCGACACTGTCATTCCCGATACTATATTTATCTTTTTAGCCGACTTGCCGCCTTCTGTCCGGGCAGCCGCCTGCTCCCTGCCACACCACAGCTTCATCCTCCGCCGACGCCACCTCCTGGCGGCGAGACAGAGACGAGACGGACACACAGACTCCTCCGCCGCCACCGCCACAGGATGGACACTACTTGACAACGGCACTAATACTCGCACTCGCTCCCACACTCGCAATTATTCACCCACTCGCTATTTCTAACCAGACGTGGACGTGAAGACCCTCTCGCTCTTGCGCAGCAGTTCAAAAAATAGGAAAAATAATCAAATAGTTTTGCCGCCAGGGCCAAACAAGTGCCGCCCTTTTCGGAACATTCGCTTTTCCACAAAAGCAATGGTAGGGAAAATGGGCAAAATTTCACTCAAGTAATTAATTCCTTTACAGGGCATACATAATTTCTGAAGTTAGTTTTTGGACACAAGCAAAAGTTGCATTATTTTGATTTTGCTTCCGCATTGGAGGCGCAGCAGCGGGCGCCATCATCGTACGAGATTTCAATCGAGATGCTACTCGCAAGTTTTTTGACGAAAAGCTTTTTGCGCCTCTGCGTTGGGTTTGCTTTGGGGTCTCTGTCTGCCACTCGTCATGCTGACCAAGCTCCACAGACAGTGGCTACGGTGGAGACGGGAGCCAGAGCGAGATGGAACGCGAGTACAGATATTCTCGTAAGTTTTCACCACACACACACACAAACACATGCACGCACGCTCTCACAGCAACACGACTCAGAGAGAGAAAGAGAGTAACACGCTCTCGCACGTTTGCTAGTGTGCTGCTAGCATTTTAATGGTGTTGGTGTGTGCGCATACACACACTATCGGTAAGCGGCCAGCGAGTGCGAGGAGCATTGGAAAAGGAAAGAAAAACAGAGACGACGACAGAAATATATTCAATTTTTTGTGTCGCTCCGCTCGTCGTTTTCTTCTTCACGTCGCTTCAAAGTTTCTATTGCAGAAATTTTTTGTGTTGTGCCCGGGCATTAGGCAATTTTGGCGGCCTTGCAAAAAATCACAAAATTCTGGCCGGCAAATTCATAATTCGGGAAAATATCGTAGTTAATTAGGAAAAAATTTCAAGTTATTCTGTTCGGCGAATTAATTTTGTAAACTTCGACTTTTTGCCACGCACTTAATTTTGTATTATTCTATGGACTTTTCTCGAATTTCGCATTTTTACCGTATAATTTTCACATTTTTCCCCGATTTCTGGCAATTGTTGCAAACTTTTTCGCAACAGTAAAACAAAAAAATTTCATCCGCTTGTGTTGCAGCAGAAAGTCAACTGATTTCGCGAACGAGTAGCAACAGAACTAGAAAGAAAGACTGAAGCTGAAACGACTACGGGTCCGCTACTACGGGAGCGCGAGAGAGCGGGCCAGATAACAAGCAGCAGCGAGTGGTCGGATAGTGATGTCATGACTTGTTGGCCAAGTATTTTTAAGCCACTAAATCACTACTTTTTCCATCACGACTGCACGATCTGTCTTGTGCAGGAATTTGAATGCAGCAAGAATGCGAACAAGTCCGAACATGATCGGACATGCAGTTTACACACATGTACACGCACACATGTTATATCAGATTCACAACTGAAATGCGTATCCTAAGGGGTTTTGGATTGCGTTTTGCTGGAATATTGAACATATTTGTTGTCAAATGAATTTCGCAACAAAGCAAAAATGCTGGTCACATATGTTTAATAAAGCATCTCAAATCAAAATCCACAGTACCAACTCTTTTCGTGGAATCACTATGAATATTTTAATGATTCAATAAATGCGTGTTTTTGTATAGGAATATTTTTAATCAAAAAACATTTATTCATAATTGCACATTTCAGCCAAGAACGGCATTAACCCAGTCACTACTTTACGCATCTCCGGCCGCAGTGTTAGACAACACGCGGAGTAGCATGTTTTCGGTGAGCGGGCGGTCTGCAGAGAGAGCGACAACAGGCCGCAAACATCCGCCACAGGACGCACCACTAGTGTTGTCCTTGTCCGCCGAACCGGTGGCCATCGAAACAACAGCGCACGGAATCAAACATTTATTTGTGAAATATTGCGGAATAAGTGGCCACATAGCTGTTGCCTTCCAGTTTGGATAATTGCTCCTCCGCGGGCTTCATCCGGATGCATATTTCATCCGGTTTTTTTTGGCGCGCGCTTTCGACGGGGCAGCATATTTATTTACAATTTTTTTGTTATGGCGGCTGCTTGGACTCACCTCACACACACAGACGCATTTTCAAAAAGAGAGCACTCTCACTCACACACACAGCAGACACGTTGGCACGAATGAAAGCGGGACAGACAGATCCGCTCTCTCTGGCCTTCTATGCGTGAGTGTGAGCAGGCCAGCTGGCTTGACGCACTCGAACGAGTCAGTCACGTCGGCGAGTGAGTGTATTCTCTGAGAGAGCTCTGCTGAGAAAAATATCATTTTCTATCCAAAATGTCCAAGTGACGATTGGGAATAATGCCCAACATTTTTGCGTTAAAATGTTTTTTGCCCAATTATTGAATTATATTCATTGGTAGTGCGCCATTAATTGCGACCAAGTGTGCTCTACTACATACATATGTTTTGCCGGCTGTTCTTTACGTGCACTAACGTCACGACTACGTCACGTTTCGGGGCTCGCGCGTAATTTTTGCGGGAATATTTCCCCCTCAATATTTTTTCTACATTTTCTATCTTTCTGTTTTTCTCATTTTTCCTCTGTTGTTGGAAAAGTGCGCCATGATGGGGTCAGGCGGGGGGCAGCCCTTATTTATGCTCTCCTCGTTAGTGATGAGCAGTTTGCTTGCGGCTGCGATCAGCACAAATCACAAATATTTTTAAGTGCCCTTTTTTGTCACATGTAGATCTGCGATTTGGTGAAGTCCCGACGAACGTCTCATTGAAATTACAAAGATATTGAACTTCTGTTCAAACTAAGCCAAACGCCAATGGTGTAAACGTGACATTTGAGCTCACCTTGTGGCCCATATTCCATCGACGGATAGTTTTTTTTTTAGTTTAATTACGAAATAAAAAAAAATTCTGGAACCGCTGGACTAAATTCGGCATATGCTTAAAAATACATATAGATAAGTACATATATAAATTGATATTCAAATAAATGGGTAATAAATAAACTTTCATTAAATGATCAATACTAGAGTTACTCTTTCATTATATTATATCCTCAGCATATATTTTCATACAAAATAATCTATTGTATATAATATTGTTAAAATAATGTATGTTTTTATCAATATATAGTCTAATAGGAGTTGACGTTGAATGGGAGAGACTTAAATTCATATAGGAACATTGCATCAGGTTATTGTTTAAATAAATATGAATCACGACTATCGAATCTGAGCTGATCTCCATTGTGTCACTGTAGACCCGACCATCGCTAAGTGTGACTGTAAAACAAAATAGGCCAAATTTCGGCTATTTTCTTAGCCTTTCCATCACTTTTTTTTTTTTAATTTTTTAAAAAGTCGGAAAAAGTATTAAAATGATGTATTTTTGAGTATTTATTTTAAAGTACTTGGCGGGAATGGAATCTTAAATATTAAGATTTTTAAGACAATACATACTTGATTAAAAGCAATACAATTGAGAGGGAAAACAATAATTAAATTTAAAAATAATTAAAAAATAATAATTGAATTTTATTTAGTTATCTAATACTAATTGAATAATACACAGCACAGCCGTTTTTCCTTGCATAGAGGCACTAGGCGAGTGTTTGTCAAACATGCTTCCGGGCATTTTTGATGTCCTGACCTTTGTTTTGTAGTCTCTGCGCAAAAGCCACACTTAGTGTGTCGTGTGTTGTTGCTGCTGATCCCACCGATACCGCCGGACCCGTCGATGGCCAGTGGACAGTGGCAAGTTCAACCCGCCGCCTAAAGCACCGCAGCAAGAAAAACACCAACACCAACTCCGAACATGACGAACCACCTGTAATACAAAATTACTTTGAAAGATTTATCAACTTCCTTTAGGGATTCGAAGATTGCGAAGCAGTGCCCAGAACATTGCCTTGAAGATCTTAAGATTTACTTCCTATTACATTCCATTCCCGCCATGTACTTTGAAATTCTATATCGAAAATAAATACTTTTAATACTTTTCTCTGACGATTTTTTTCGAATTTTTTCGAAATTGTAAGCAGTGTGGGTAAATGTAAATTCAGTACTGTACAATGACCAAAGGCAGCGACATCTGTGATGAAAAGTGAGCACTAAGGGCACGCGGTTTTTGACTCTGCTAACGAATGTATGCGCAAGGCGCCATCTGTTGTGTGGGGGAATGTATCCGCAGAAATTTGAATTTATAGATTTATAGAAATTGTTAAAGTAAATCAATTAGCTAGGAGCATAACGGGCACTCGAACAATATACAAACAATAATGCTATGGTTAATCGTTGTTAGAGTTTATTCTCTGATTCCCTGACTGTCACCTGACTCGGCCGACAAAGGGCTCCCACGGCACACCACCACACAGCAAAGGAGCAGGAGCAGGCAGCGGCAGGACATCTAAGGACTGTGAAAGGAACAGCGGAGAGTCTTTTGCAATTTAGAATCGAACCAATTAGTCCTCCTTTGTCCTTTGTGCTATGTTTCTCTGTGTGCGTGTGTGTGTGTGATCTGCATTGTCGTTTTGGTTTTTTTTTCTTCCAATTTTTTGTTTTATTTTTGCAAAAATCAAATCGATTTTTCCCATAGCCTTGGCACTGCCTATCTCTGTCTCTCTCCCACAGTTGCCACTGTTTTCCCGCCGCTCTAGCTTGCACCCAGCGGGGCGTGCGGTGCCAGATCAGAGGCCCCGAAGGCCTCCGCGGGGCACCCTCAAACTGATGATCATTTCGACACCCCATTTATGGTACCCAGGCGGCTTCTTCTCTTCTTTACGCCAGCGTAAACTCACTCTCTCTCTCTCTCACCCTCTTTCTGTGTGTCTCTCCTTTGCTGGCTGCAGCTCCTGTGCGCCCCTGCACCAGCGAACAAGTGCCTTGAGCATTTTGAGCCTGCTTCTCTTTGCGCAGGATTTTCCCTGCTTGGGTAAAGTGATTTCCATGGAAGTGTTAGAATCCTCTTGTTTCGGCACTCTCCCTCGCTCGCTCCCTCTCTCCCCGTTCTGTGTTTCTCTTGTTTCGGGGTCCTGTAAATTGATGCTGTTGACATTTTTAGTGCAAAATGGTCTCCTTGGAGATCTGTAATATCTTGTTCGCGGTTCGGCCCCTGCCTGTGCACCCCCTGCCCCTTGCCACTTGCCCCTAACAAACGCACACGCACACGAGAAATATTTATTATTGAAATTAAAATTTATTGTTTGATTCTATTGTGTTTTTTTTGTGTGTATTTTTTTTTTGCATCGCAGCCGCTTGATTAGAGAATTCCTTGGAAGTAGATGAAGATTCGGTTGCAAGTGCGCTTGAAAAGGTCAAAGGAGGCGCGGCGCGGCTTCAGCTTCAGCTTCAGCATCGGCTGCGGCATGGCACGGCCTGGCCTTGGGCCAAAATCGAGGCATTGCGCAATCTGTCGCTCAGTTGGACAGGGGGGGAAACGGAGTTGGCAGTTAGGGGTCCGAGCAGAAGGCGTTCCCCGATGCCCATTTGGATTTGGATCGATAGATCGGTTGCTTGGTTAGACCAGCTGTTCTTTTGCCCCGAGATCTCGAAGATCAAGTGGTTTTTATATTCTACATTTAATGCGAAATTAAAGGATTTATGGCATAAAAAACCACACGCACACATTGACTGGAAGTTGAAGTCCTGATTCCTCTGCTGAGTGGGAAAGTTCCAACAGAAAACGTTATCCAAATTTAATTTCTCTTCCATTTGGAGGATAATTATTATTAAAACCTAGAATATATCCTTGAGAACCACACCAAGGCGGAGAAGGCTATTGAAAAATGAAGCAAACTGTGACTCAACCGAAAGTGTTTTTGAATGCTTAAATTTACTTGATTGTAATCTAGTCTTAGCTTAGAAGAAATGCAACCATGCCAAAATGTCTGAAAAGAATACGGAAATTTCTAGCAATATTTTGTAGATTTATTTCGGGGAGAGATAACAACAATCAGGGTCATGCAAAACATTATTTATGTTCTGTTTTCCTGCAAAAAGATGAATCCTTGACGACTGTTTTTGGGTCTTAACTTGGAACACTTTATATTTACGACTACCATGACAAAATGTCTTAATAAATCAAGTGGCTCATTTGAAATATTAATTATGTTTTTTTTCAACAAAGAAAATATGCTTAAAACCTGCACCAAAATGGATGATATTTTTGGGTCGCAATTTAACTTTATTTCAATGTTTAAATA